TATATCACGATTCTCAGCATACCATAGGTTATCTCTGGACGAAATATCAAGGGGTCCATTTTTCCAACCTTGTGCCACATTTTTCCAATCTCACTCGGTCCCTATAGAGAGTCGCTCTTAACACTGACAATGAGAAACACCACCAACTAGACACTCTGAGAGAAAGCGACTTCGAGTCAAAAGGATGCATCTTATACCCAAAACAACATGCTTATAACAAAGCCCCTGTAATGTATTTATTTCTCCAATAATTCAAAGTACAAAGCATCAAGCGGAAACGGTGACGATGTGTTTTAAATTTCGCAGTATTACTGGTCAGTAAATGTTTTCTACCCACCTGGATATCCGTGAAGTAGGTGTATCAATGTTTACTGCAGATGGTGTCTTTTCTCAAGTGAGTGGAACCTGCAGAATATAAATATACGCTCGGCTATTAAATTTATGGCTTTTAAAATTCTATTTTACTTTAAAGAAACAAATTTAAAAAACTACAACATCTTAAGGACCTTAAGCTGATCCTACCTGACTGCTTTGACAAAACTACAGACTGCCAAAATTCTAAGACACCAAGGGTCGTTAAAACCGAATGAACAGTATCAGTTGGTTGTTGGTGACGTTTACACCAGTGAGTTCGGTGACTGATTGCATTAATGACAATTTCCCTTTTTCTTCGAAGCCGCTTCTTGATTGTTCGTTTTTTTTTTTGCATTTCATTATTCTTTGACCTTTGAATCATGTAACGGCACAGAACTGAAAAATTAAATCCACATGCCGCATGTTATATCACTAAAAATAAAATCCACATTAAGGAAACTGATTATTCACTTCCTAAACTCTTGCAGGATTATGTTGTCAGTTAAACGTTTCCAGCAGTTAAATTTTGATGGGTCGTTATAACCACTCTTTATTGGTGCTACAATCATGGTATCAAAAAGCTGCCCAATCATTAGTAAACAGTGACACGATAGGTTACCGTAGCAGTAGTATGACCTGCTAAAAACACCCCTAATTATAGCCTTAGGGGCTTAATTATAATTCAAAAAACGGCACAGTGAATTGTTTTTGTATTATCAAATTGTAATAAGCATGATAGAAGGCAACTTTTGGCAAAGTTTTACAAAAATCTGTACATAGGGTTCAGAGCCACCTTAAATTTTTGGAAATTTAAGGTGCTCTGAACACTATGTACAGAATGTCACGAAAATGTTAACAACGTGTTCACTAATGATTGGGAAGTTTTTCGATATCATGATTGTAGCATAAAGCGACAAGGAGTGTTTATAACGACCCATCAAAATCTAAGTGCTGGAAACTGTTTTGAGCCACCCTAAGCCACAAACCCCATATTCGTATTCTCAGTATTGGACAGGAACTAGATTGTAGTGGAGGCTTCTGCGGGGGACTGTCATCAAAAAGGAATAGATGCTTTTCGCATTTGAAAAGATTCCCAGCATTAGCCCCGGGCCTCAGTTGCAAGCTTGTTCTGGTCTAATACCGAGGATACGAATATGATCTATTATGAAGGATCATCTTCAACTTTTTACCTTATATGGCTGACCAGTAAACTGGTAACATTGTATATCTTAATGAGGACGTTCTATACCATGTTCCGTTATATAACATTTTTTGTAAATGTGACTTAGATAATGTGAAATAATGGCCAACCCGTCCCTTAAGTTTATAGTCAAGCCACATATTCTTTTCTCAGGGCGTGTTTTAGCAATGTTGCTGCGCAGTGTTGGACTATTGATTGGCAGTTTTCACGGACCAACTTCCAAATTAAAATTCAAACCCATTCCTCCCACCGGAAGTTAACAAGAACTTGCTCTAAGAGAAGAAGTATAGACACCGCTGGAATTGACTTTCACAAAGCAGACGAACTTTGTGTAGCTGAAAAGCCATCCGGCTATTTGAACGATTTTACCAACCGAAGCAGTTTAAATGAGTGGCCTAAACGGAACATGTTCTCAGTGTTTTCCAAATGTCATACAAGTCCCAGTAAAAGACACTCGATGTGCACGAAGAAATAGCGAGGAATATTGATACAACATAAGTTAGACATTAATTTTCAAGATCTCTAATGGGCACCAATATATATTTTTCTCCTGCTGATCATCCCGCTTAAAACCAGAAAGAGAATTTTGGCTGTAATCTTAAACGGAGTGTGCAGTCTTGTCTGCCATGCATATTTAATTATCATGCATATTTAATTATATCTTGAGAAATACGATGACCAATGAAGCCATTTATGATTTATCATAAATTAAAAAATGTACCAAGCGGAGTCTCAAGGTAAAGAAAATTTCAATGAATACTTTCCACGGAAGAGAAAACAACTGATTCAGTTTCTGTCCTGCCTTTAAAAATAAATACTGTTTTTTACTAGTTTTGTTTTTCAAATGTCACTCTTTGGTACAACGATCTCTATAGATGACACAATGTAAAAACATCGATGATTGGATAGGTCAGCAATTAGAATTTCACTTGGCTTTAACTTTCCTTACGTTTACTACGTATGCAATGTGAAGTCGCCAAAATTTCAAGCTAAATGGTGCCGATTAAATCTGTTCAGAAATAGATGGTGTCGGAAACAATTTCATCGCTGCATCGCCAAGGATAAGTTATTTCAACGAAGAAAATCATGATATTATTACGTACACAGTAACTCCTTTTAAAACCTGGTTTTCTGGAGGAAGAACGTTTGATCAAAACTGAAATCGAAAGTAAACCTCTCAACCACGATATGTTATTGTAATGTACAGTATCACCAGAACACAACCGGACACATTATTACCAATGTGTCCTATGAGATATATCTAAGTTTGTATTTGATCCTACCAACAGACCGATTGCCCGAACCAAGTCTCTCCGTGCCCATAGGCAGTTTTTCGGAACAATTTTAGATTATGCACAATAAGAAGAAAGAAGGGGCTTGGCCTTTTCTAGCGGATGACACATCAAACAAATTTTTGAACAAACTGTAAATAAACTACTTGCTGTTTGTGCGTTAATGTTCCCCAAGTGGGGAAGCTGCTGGTGGAGTAATTAGCTAGATATCGTGAAATGCAGGAAAATAAATGTTGAGGTTAATGACTCATGACTCACATGAAAAGCTGGTACCACCAGTCCAAAACTTGAGGGCAACGCCACACCTTGGTCCGTGACAGTGAGTGATTTGCGGTTTCCAGTGTAAAACGCTCATAGAAATGTCTCTATCCTCTATCCTCTTATGTTTTTTTTTTAACGTTATCCACTAACTTTTCTGTATTTTACATTTCGCCAAACAAAGGGCAGTTGCCTTGCCCAGAAAACGTTTTGAATGCACAATTCAATATTTCAAAAGAAGGGATTGCACCATGACAACAGATGTAATCACGCGTGACCGTTATCGTACGGAAAATTGATTTAAAAAAGTATACATCTATCTTCGGAAAACCTGGAGGCAAATGGTTAAAGGAAACACGCGAAAAAAAGAGTCGAGAGAGAAACAAACTTAAGACGATTGAGAAAGTGCAATTGCACTTTTTCCTAAGCGTCTCTCGCTCCAAGTTACAATGTTTACCTTTTATACGATAACTAACACGTCAATGACTCAAGTGCTAAAACAAAATAAGGGACAGTTTTTATAACAGGAGGAATGCCGGGTCCAATTCAAGTCGCACTTTCTAGCATTCTTTATAGTTTAGTAAGGTTATAGTTAAGTAAAGTAAGGCTTTAGATCAGATCAGTGGATAACGTCGGAGACGAGTTAGATCCAGCCACCGGTCATTTTGCTGCGGGCTTGTTTCGGTTTTAATGTCACGCTGCCCTCAAATCAAAATGCCTTACTTGTCTGCCGCAACTGAGAAAAACAATTGTGTCAATTTGCTAAGTGGCGTAGAATTTTACATGTTTTTGGCTTACATGGAATGCACCCTGGGCAGCTGTATAAACGCTGCATCTGAAATGAGTAGAATTTTCGATTAAGCGTGTCAAGAGGGGATTTAAAAACGATCTCTAACATTTTTCCTGTTTCATCTACAAATCAAAACACAGGAGATGTAGTTTTATAAATACCTTTATTATCAACTGCCATCGTTACGATAAGCTTGTTTAACAGTTTCTCAAATTTTAGTGCAGAGATCTTGTATCATAACTACATCCCTCATTACAATTTATGACAAACGCAAACGCTATAGAGGCACCAAAATCAGCATGAATAACTAAATAATAATGTTCCTTCCCGATTCTACACCAGTTAAAGCTATTTCCAACAAGTCAGATAACTTTCACTTTCAAATCCTCGCAAAGATTCGGAACAGCTTACCTTACATACATACATACACTCTTGTCAGTCTAACTCACGCTAACAAACCTTGTTTTCTTATGATCAAATATCGAAACGGTACCTCGGTCTACATGGTCACCAAATAAAAATAAAACAAAATCAATAATTACGGTTTCTTTAGTTCGCGGTCAACAAGGCAGGTTTCTAAGCTGCTCGGTAAATTCAGACCACACAAAATTAATCTATAGCCTCTTTATTCTACAGGCTTCCAATAGCCAGTTAGGAGGACAAGACGAAGATGGAAATTTGAATGTCACGCCTACGAAAAAAGCTGTTTCTTAGCCATTAGCTGGCCAGACAAACCCGTTTTCGACCGCTACAGTCTGGCGTCTGTTTCTTGTCTGATTAGCCTCTTAATTATTTTTGGTGTGTTTCTTCAAAATCACTTGTACATTTAATCAGAATCAGACTAGTCCCTAGGCGTTCTTTCTTGTCGCAATGACCGCGCAAGGCCTGAAACGAAGTGATGTACCGTTGCAGTTATGTCCTATGTAGCAGACATGTCCTCTGACGTAATGTAATATACGGAGCCAATCA